GAATATCAAATTCTATCCAGAAAGAAGAGAAAACCAGCCCTTTTTTTATGCCTGTGTACCAGCAGATTCAGTGGATGTTATCCCCCAAACCATTCGCTGGCTTATCCCCTCCAAAATCTTACAGGAAAGCAACTTCCATATTCCTCAAGTGGCAAGTATTTCAAAATCTTGGAATCTATGCAGTTCATCCAAAAAGCTGTTGGGATTGCTTGCAGGGGCCTTTAATATAGTCCGTCATGGTTGATAGCAATTGTACGTGGATTCTTCTGAATTACAATTCTGCTTGCTACTGAGACATTCAATGAAAATAAAACAGCAGAATGTCATATTTCCTTGAGATGTGTTTACTCAACTTCTCTGCTTTATGTCTTGGTAGTTCCTGGAGGCTGGGGGAGGGGCATGGCTCTGTTCCATCCTACCGGGTAAGAGCTCTCCCTTCTGTTGACATTGCTTTTTCACAATCCTAATGGGAGAGTCCCACAGACCAGAAGTCTCTTTCCCACTCTACCCTTATGACTGAAGGGTGAGTGGGAGGAACGCTTGATTGTGAAAAAGGTAGCTGAGCTGAAAAGGAGATAAAGACGGCCCTTTGAGATAGCACTAAGAGGTCCACACTGTCAGACAGCACAAGACCCACAGCAAGGACAGAGTTCTGTCCAATGAGTTTAACAGCCAAGCTGAATACCTTTTTATAATAGAGAACTCTGAACACTCAAACACAAAGACCAGTGCCCATTAACTACATTGCAGACCAACAGCCTTTGGTGGAAACTATCCATATCTCACCAATGCCTCCACCATTAAGATTTTGGAACAAATCCTAGATACATCATTTGGTTCATAAATATTTTTATTATGTATTTGCATAAGGGCTTTTGTTTAGGGAGTGGGGCCCCTTTGTTCCAGCCACCCAGCTAGCTTACACCAGAAATAATCACACAGAAACTGTATTAATTAAAACACTGCTTGGCCATTAGCTCTAGCCTCTTATTGGCTAACTCTCTCATCTTGATTTAACCCATTTCTATTAATCTGTGTATCACCACGAGATTGTGGCTTACTAGGAAAGATTTAGCATGTCTGACCTGGCGTCTCCATGGCGACTCTCTCTCTGTCTCTCTCTCTGTCTCTCTCTCTCCCTCTGCTTTCTTTCTCCCAAAATTCAGTTCTGTCTTCTCTGTCTACCTAAGTTCTACCCTATCAGGCCAAGCAGTTTCTTTATTAATTAACCAATGAAAGCAACACATAAACAGAAGGCTTTTCAGATGACCACAATGTCATTTCACATCTAAAAATAACAGAACCTGTGTCTTAAAATCCAACCAAATTAAAGAAGTGACACATTTAAAAGAAAATATTTGCTTCAAACGACTACCTGTTACTTTTGGTGATACAAATCAGAGCTGTAATCTTGAGTTTAATTTCTAGTCATAAACGATAGGGAAGAAAGCGCACTGAGTGATTAGTTGCATTGTGGTTGCTATTCTCGGTTGTCATCTTGACTACATTTGGAAATAATTAAAACCCAAGTGGTTGGGTACACCTTTGAGGCATTTTTTTTCCTTAATTAAACCGTTATAAATGGGAAGTCTCATTTTTAAGATGGATCTTTTGAGGTAGGAAGATACGTTTAATCTGGGCCACACCTTCTCCTGGCAGCCTATATAAAGGGCATAGAAAGAAGCTTGCTCTCTTTGGATGCTTGCTCTTACCTTGCTGGTAAGTTCATTCCTTCATTGGCATTAAAAATTAACTTCTTGGTGATTCCAGTGTATACTGAAATCCCGTCTCAGGGACGGAGCAAATCTGGAGTCCTCTGTTGGTAGAAAGCCATTGTTGGACTAGCTGGACTACAGCCTGTAAGCCAATATAATAAACCCTTTCTAAAGAAAGAAAGAAAGAAAGAAGAAAGAAAGAAAGAAAGAAGAAAGAAAAAGAAAGAAAGAGAAAGAAAGATAGAATGATAGATAGATTCATTCTATTAGTTCTGTTCTTCTAGAGAAATCTTACTAGTACATGCATGATGTAGAATTGCCACAAAACTTAAAATATTGCAAAAAATTGAAAACAAAATTAGACACTAAAGACTGTATTTAGTCATAGAAAAATCACATTCCAATTTTTATAAAGATGATTGAAGCTCATAAGAATATCATCTTAGTTACCTGCTTGATGTATTTTTTTTCTATAGTTTTTCATGGTTAGTTTTAATTATCACTTTGACACAATCTAGAATCACCTGACAGGGCAAAATCTCAGTGAGAAATTTCCTAGATAAGGTTAGGTCACGGGATTGTCTTGATCACATTAGTTGATATGGGAAAAAGCAGCCTACTATGGGTGGCACCATTCCCTAGGGCTAGACCCTGGACTGAATACAATGGGGAGACTGAGCTGACACTGGCAATCATGCGTGCATGTCTTCCTCATTCTTGACTGTGGATGTGACATGACCAGAGGCTTTAAATTTCAGCTGCCTTGTTTTCCTAACAGTTCTGGACTATTACCTGAAACTGTGAGACAACCCCTTCTTTCCCCAAATTGCTGTTGCCAGGATGTTTTATCACGGCAACAGCCAGGGAAACTGAGAAACATCTATGCCATTAGTTACAGTGAATACATACATATTCTTCTGCGTGCAGTCTTATGAGAAGACTATACCCTTCTGTATTTCTCAGCTTGTGGCTCACACAAAATTTGACGGGTAAAGCGTCTTCCACAGCCCACTTCCCCCAAGCTGCAGCTTTCTCCCGTGTTTCTTTTCCATCACTCAAGTAAGCAAGATTCTCCTGAGTGAAGTGAAGTGTTATGTAGTCTAAAATCACATCCACACCTCTGGCAGAGGCATCAGCCTATGCTGTACACGTGACTTTGAGTCCAGCGGGAAAGAAGGTTGAGCTGTTGTATCCTAGATCATCATACTCACTGAGGAATACTTGACAAAGACTTTGGAGCGTCAAAGAAATCCCTCATCTCCCAGGAACCAGTTCCCTTGAGATCTCTACTGCAATCAGTCCTGGGCTGTGAGCCATCCACAGGGAGGTGTGGATTTGCAGCAAAGGTGGGCGACTTCAAAGCCTGGAGGGCCAGGGGGTGTTAAGTGCTTAGTCTCTACCTCTTTGAGGGAATCTGGTTATGAAATGTTCTGTAAATCATAAGGTGCAGAAATACTGTGGTGCAATGAGCTTGCATTGTCATGTGGGCAGGGGTTGGGAGAAAGCACAATACATCTGACTCAGCACTTCCTGCTTGAAACAATCCTCCCTGGGAATTGCTGGGCATCCAGTCTCTTACTTAACCTCACACAGCAAGATAGATGCTTTGGTTTAATGACCTCCTTGGCACAGCCTTCTCTTCCTCCTCTCACATCTTAAGTCTTATTTTGTTTACCGGTATTTTCATTGTTTCTCCTCACCCAAAATATTCTCTACTTATTTCCTTTCTCTATCCAATGTTCAGGTTGTCAAGTAGCACAAACTAACTCAACACCAAACAAACAAACAAACAAACAAAAACCCCTCTATCTAGGAATGCCATTGCACCAAAGGAAGAAAAAAATGTAAACGTGTGTATAAATGTGCAATACTACGGATAAATAATAGGTTTTGAGTTGAGTTAAAGTGGCTTCAGCTCTACATAAAATAGAGGGCTTCCAGCTATATTACAGCGCCACAGGCTGTTTTAGCACGATTTCCAGATGTTTCACATCTGGAACAATTTCTAAACTTAACTTCCTGAAAAAACGTGCCTATGATGGAAGGGCATGTCTCTTCTCCTCTGCACCTCCTATTTCATGACCGGGTCTTCCATTTTTTAAATGGGGGAGCCATGTAACCTGAATATTGTCTTTTATTACCTACAGGGGTAGTAGCCTTGGAAGCATACAGAATGAACAAACTGAAATACTTTAACATTTAAAAACGGAACTCCAATATTCTGTACCATAGAAAAAAATTTACAACAATAATAAGTTTTTTTTTTTGTGTGTGAGACAGAGTCTGGTTGTATAGCCCAGACTGGACTCCAGTTCAAAATCCTTTTGTTTCTACCTTCTACGAGCAAGGATTGTAGGTGTCACAACCAGGGACCACATTACATAAATAAATGTTAGTCTTTCAAACATACTCAAGGTCTCCTATGTGGATCAAGTGCTGGGGGATGGTCAGGATAACAACAGCATGTAGTGCTCTCTGGGGTGTTTTGTACTTAATTTTCAACATTTCATTATATCCCTCTTATCTCCAATTTATGCAAAGGTTATAGCCAAAGATGACATTTGTCATGGGTGGTTGGTTCAACAAAATGGGAGTAGTTGTACTCCCAGATCTTCTTNCTCTGGTTGGTGGGCACAACACAGTAGGCTAGATAGTACTGCAGGCAGACCATGAAGACAACTTAATTTCAGCAGAGAGTTGTTTTGTAACCCGGGGCCTCCAGTCACTTCCTCTATATGAAATGAAGTGGTGGCCAAGGCTCCCGTGAAGCTGCACATCAGTTCCTTCTGCCACTGCTGCATGCTCAGGACTGAAAGCCCCTGGAGAGTTTGTCATTCTCTTTCCTCTGCTGTTCAAATACTTAAGTGCTTTCCAATTCTGTCCTAAAGGTACTGAATCATGGTTGGGAATGAAGATAACATTGACCTTGCTGCCTTTCCCTCACCAGCAAGAGCAAACTCTCCGGGCCTTATAGAATGAACAATGAAGGCAATCAGCAGGAACTGCTGCCGACACCAGAGCAAAGTTCGAGGAGTCACTGGGAGGACTGTGGTTTGAAAAGTGACATATAAGGTATTCCATGCATCTGTCTCTTGCGCTGGAGTCCACAGAAATGCAAAGGGCCCGTGATTGCATAGGAAAAAGATTATTTTCCTCTTTGAAATTGTTTCTTTTTAATTATGAAAGTAGTTAACAACTACATACTGCTGTTTTGTTATCTGTGTGGTTTAGATATATTCAAATGTCACTTGCACTTGCTTTCTGATTTAGAAATCACGGTAGGCTTTATATTTATTTATTTATTTATTAGTTTTTCGAGACAGGATTTCTCTGTAGCTTTGGAGCCTGTCCTGGAACTAGCTCTTGTAGACCAGGCTAGGCTTTATTTTTTTATTTTTATTTTTTTGCTTTATAAATAATACCATTCAAAATTTCCACCTCCTCTCCCCCTCCCATTTCCCTCCCACTCACCCTTCCTCTCCGTCTCCAGTCCTAAGAGAAGTCAGGGTTCCCTGCCCTGTGGGAGCTCCAAGGCCCTCCCCGCCTCCATCCAGGTCTAGGAAGCTTTGCATTCAAATAGTCTAGGCTCCCAAAAAGCCGGTACATGCAGTAGAATCAAATCCCAGTGCCATTATCATTGGCTCCTCAGTCAGCCCTCATTGTCAGCCACATTCAGAGTCCGGTTTGACCACATGCTCCATCAGTCCCAGTCCAGCTGGCCTTGGTGAGCTTCCATTAGATCAGTCATACCGTCTCAGTGGGTGGACGAACCCCTCGCGGTCGTGACTTCCTTGCTCATCTTCTCCCGGTAGGCTTTATTTTTTTTTTAAGACTTTATTTATTAGCCTTGACGCCGACTCTTGTTATTTGATGCAAAACAAAGCACATACATAATTATTTGCATGTGAAGCTGTCAACAACAATTGGGTTGTCATAAATTGTATTTAATAGCTGTGAGAGGGTTTTACAAGATTGTCAGTGGGGCAATTAAGATTATCCTGGTAGGTATAGGCACAGCCAGCTCATTCAGAAACCACAGAACGCAGAAGCTGGTCACCCTCACTGGATATCTTAATGGGGGGAAAAAAAAGCACTATGGTTTAAGGACAGCGCTGAACCTGAAGGAGAAAACAGGAACGTCGATGCAGAAAAGCAGGCAGAAATTTTTCAGGAATCCCGGAGGCCAAGAGCAGGCCCCGAAGACAAGAGGGGCCCATTTGGGTCCCGTGCTTTGTTTCAAGATCACTGGCGACAGAATCGCCGACAAACCTCTTCCTGTTGACTAAGGCGCTGCCTCTCCCCACTCCATCCATCCACCTTAACCCCCCCCCCCCCCCCCCCCCCCCCCCCCCCCCCCCCCCCCCCCCCCCCCCCCAGAAAGCAGCAGCCACAGAGCCCGCACCGCTCAATCCGAGGCCTCCGAGCCCGAAGCAACCGGCGGGGATCCCGCTGCTAGGGCGGGCGGCCCGTTCTTCCGACGGCGTCTCCCAGCCAGTGACAGCTCGGACGCCGAGCCCCGGGCTCTCCGGGCTCCAGCCGGAAGCGTTCAGACTCCACCCCTGCGCCGCAGCCCAGCTACACGCCTACGTAGCGCCTCTCAGCGGCGCCGTTAGCTGACGTGGCGACACGTCATTGGCTCTGCCGCTCTGCCCGCACGCGATTGGGTCCCGGAGGCACGGCCCCGCCCCCTCCCCGCCTCGGGCCCGCCTCGCCGGCTGTCCCCGCGCCGCTGGTCCGCGAGCAGCCTGGCGGTTTGCCTTTTCCTCGCCCGTCCTCTAGACCGCGTCCATGGCCACCGCCGCGACCGAGGAGCCCTTCCCTTTCCACGGTCTTCTGCCGAAGAAGGAGACCGGGGCCGCCTCCTTCCTGTGCCGCTACCCGGAGTATGACGGGCGCGGGGTGCTCATCGCCGTCCTGGACACGGGGGTCGATCCCGGGGCGCCGGGCATGCAGGTGAGGCGGCGCCGAGGGCCCGGGACCGGAAGGGCCGAGCCGGAGGACGGGGCCGGACAGCTCCGGGCCACCGCAGGACCCTGTTCCTGCTCCACACAAAAGCGGCGTGGTCGGCGTGGCTGATCGGGATCGGGGGCCGCGGGGAAGCCCTGCTGGTCATCCGGGCGAGCAAGGCCCCACACCTCGTCAGGGTCCTCGCCCGGTCTCACCGAGCCAGGATTTTACAGTTTTTAACCTTGGGAGTGCGGGGAGTGGGGGGGGGGGTGATACTGATGGGGCAGCAGTTAGGGATGTGGTTACAGATTGGTTTTGGCAAGACCAGCAAAGCGGGGTTCCCAGAAGACGACTCGGTCCGCTTCCGGAATGGTTTCTTCTGAGACTTTGGTATTTTTAAGTTATCTGCTGTGTATTTGAAATCTGGGTTAGACTTTTACATAAGGCACAACAAATTGTTAGGGGCGAACTTTTCAGGCCTTAAGAAAATAGACTTTTTAAACGCCTCAGAATATAAAAAAAAATATACTTTAGCTAGGATTTCCTTAAATGACTTTATTTTCCTTTCTGCAAGTTAGAAGTCTTTAGGGGAGGGACCTTACAGAAAGTTGATGTTAAAACAATGCCTCTGATTAAAATGCATTCTGTTTTTAAAGTAAACTAACCTTTTGCTAAAACCTACTAATAAGTACTTTTCCAGCCGTTGTTGAATATCTTCCCTGACTAACTTATTGCCTCCTTTTCGGTCCTGTGTCTGTATATCTATCAGATAGATGATTAGATTGCATAGATAATATATTAACTTCTTCCTAACAAAGGAGGAATGCTTAGTACTTTATTCCTAGACCATGGTTCCCCCCCCCCCCATCATTGTGCAAGGGATGGGAAGGAAGCCTGTGTGACCACTCCATGGATCTCTGGGGAGTCCTGATCCGGAGGGTTTGTTGCTTCTTCCTTTCTCTGGAGCACATCTGGTGGTGGTCCTGTCTGACCGAGCCCCTGATTTAGAAGCTCAGGTAATGAGTTCCCTCCAGGTGACCACCGTTGTTCTTTTATGAATGGTAATTGCTAAGGCCTGGTGACGGCATTGCCACATAGAGGGTTTGGCACACAGTGGAAACACTGCCCATTACACAGCAGTGTGTGCTTGCTTGTTGTAGGGTGCGTGGGAGAACAGCCAGGGTAAGTGGCTGGCTGGATCTTTTGTTAGAGGTCAGGCGGTTTTGGAGTCGACCTGCTCAGTGGGCATTTGTGGGATTACCAGCTCTGTTTATCAAAGTATTTTGTTTCTGTAAAGGAACGATTTTTACCCTGTAGAATTACTTGACAATTGAGAAAATCAATAAAGTGCTGAAGAAAAGTTTTAAATACTATCTTAAAGTCCTAAATAACAATAAATGTCTAATGGGAGGAGTTTATGATAGGTCTATACTTACAGATTATCTGAAGAGAAAATAATGTTGGATATTTACATACAACATAAATACTCAATAAAATATTAAAACCAGATGAGAATATAAGATCATCAAGCATTAATGCTCAGATTCTAAATATGATCGGCTTTTTTTTTAATTCAGCAAGGAGCTTAGCACATGAGTGACTTCAGTTGTTTCCTTACCTGATGAATTAATTTTGTAGCTGTGTGTATACATCATCAAGGTAAGAAAGAAAATAGAAATTAAAAAAAAAAAAGAATAGAAGAGGGGGCTGACCTGGCCATTTGGGATGCCAAATGGGATCTCAGTAAAGGACTCGAGACAAAAATGAGAACTTTGAGGGACAGAGCCAGTTGTCTCCTCCTTCGTTAACTTCCGTAGGCCAAGTCCTTTTTCTTCTGGGTGTCTTCAGAGTAGAGGGCAGGGCCGGGTGTGCCAACAGATTGAGGAGAGTAATCCTTCCGTTGATGACGAAATGTTCCCTTAGAAAGCATTCAGGCACCTGGTTGGTACCCACTGTGCCATTAAATAAAGTCCTGGAAGCTGTGGGTGTTTCAAAGATTGAGCGGTAGGACGGTGGGAAGACAGAGATTGTGGATGTGTTTCATGACAAGATAAAACTTGGTCGAGGCCGTCTACAAAAGCAATTGTAGATGCCACCGTTAGCTCTCCACTGATCTATCTTCACTTTCCCAAACTTATCCACCAGAAGCAATCCTAGAATCATGTATTTGTTCAAAACCAAGTCAGTTTGCTTTTGAGTAAATCTCCAAAAATTCTATTGCAAGCCTTTCCCCCCCCCCCCCCCAACTTTGACCTTTGGGCGTAGCCTCAGCACCACCTTTCATTCCGTGCTTCCCTCTTGAACGTTTGATTTCCATCTCTTCTAGGCACCTAGATGTTGCAGGTCCTAATGCTTGCCTTTGCCTGTGGTCCTTAATTTGCCCAAAAGCTTCCTATAGTCACCTGCAAACTCCTGCTTCACCCTTTAAGACATTACTGATTTCCTTCAGCTTTTGCCAGGTATTTAGCTCTACTGCTAAGGTCTGTGGCTGTAGACGTGAGTAAGGCCGGTAACTTCCGGCTAACAGTGATTTTCGTTTTTCTCCCTTTTGTTCTCTTCTCAAGTTGTAAGTGTTCCTAATAGTGCTTACATTTTTCCTGGTTACAATTCTTGGAAAGCGTATATCAAATTTATTTGGTATCAAATCTGCTAGTAATAATAAGCATTTTGTTGAAAAAGACGTGCATGCATAATAGGGAACTGTCCTCTTAGAAAAAAACAATTTGAGATAAATAAATACAAATAACTCCATGAAAGTTTTTTGTATGTTTGGTATTAATGATAAATAATTGATACAGGGTTTCTCTGTGTAATAGCTCTGGCTGTCCTGTACACCAGGCTGGTCTCAAACTCACAGAGATCTGCTTGCCTCTGCCACCCAAGTGCTGGAATTAAAGGTGTGTGCCACTACCACCCGGCTCAAATAAAGTATTTTTAGTGTGCTCATTCACTAAAATATTAATAAGTAACCCAACATATATAATTGGTTTTATTTTAGTCTTAGTGACTGTCATTTACTTGGGTTTAGTTTCTGCGAGCTGAGCTTTGTGTTCTCAGGGCATTTCTTGACTACTTCCTTAAACTCTTACTGTCTTGGATTATTATCTCTACTCCTTTGTTATCTCAACTGATAATAAGCTATCTAAAAGCAGGAATCCTTATAAATTGATCATGCTCTCGGAATAAAAGCTACTGAGTAGTAATCACATACTTAAATGTACATTTTCAATTTCTTCTGTTGAAATTTCAAGTAAATACTATTTTTTCTTTGTTTAGTGAACGTTTGTTTTTGAAGGTTAGCAAGCCTTTCGCCTCTTGTTCTGGTCTTTACAAATGGTTAGTGAATGGCTCCTGCCCATACCATTTTCTGCTCTATAATAGCTACAGTGGAGAAATGAGCAACTTGTATTCCTGACATTTAGGGGGAAATGGTAGGCGATTTCTTTTTATTTAGTTAGTATCCAGGAAATGTTTCCCAGTCTCCCCCTCAAGGTTATTACTGTGACTTTCCCCATTATTCCATTTTCCAGGCTTGCCAGCCCTTGACCACGCACCTCTCCTTCCTTAAAGACGGACTGCATATTTCCTCTGTTACTAGTCTACTGCAAAATTCTCATATGAGTTTGCCTTTATATTTTTTTCAGCCCCAAATTCTTTTGTCTCCTAGAAAATCTCCAATAGAGTGAACAAAAATGTGTATTTTGTATATTTGTCTGCTCCTCTCTCCCTTTTTCTCTTCTCTATCTGTCTGTCTCTGTGTGTTTGGGGGGGGTGAGAGACAGAGAGAGACCACGAGCACTTATACGTAAAACGTAACAGAAATCATACATGGTAAACAAATCACTAAATCTCTTTGGCTTTTTCTCTTCTCACATACTGATAATGAGATTTTGTTTTACTAGTTTGATCATGATTTTCATTGTGACTTTTTTTTTTTTTCTAAATTGTCATATTGATTGAACTTTCTGGTTATCAGCCTTCTTCTAGTATAAATATCCAAGAAAGCTTATAGATTGCTGTTCAAACAAAACAAAACAAAAACCCTAAGTGTGACAGGCCCTTTGGAACTTCACACTTTTCCAAGGCAGCATGACAAAGTACTGCATGTGATCCACAGCTGTACCTGCTTGGCCCTATCAAGAAAAAATGCGCCTTGTTTTCTCTAAGAGTCACTGCTTCTTTGAGTATATGGTAAATACAAAACTTTGCATATACTATAGAGGAAATACTTTGTGTTGGGGAAAAGATTCATGATAGTCAAATGATTTAATAGTAATGGCCACAACCCTAGTCCTAAAGATTTATGAGTTTTCCAGGTAGAAGAAAAGTCTGAAGACTTTGTGCTTGTTACATTCTTGACATTTGTTATTTTCTTCTTTCTTTCTCTTTTTTACAGACCTTGTGTTTTCATGCCTAATTCCTGTTGATGTGTGTATGTGTGTGTGAGAGGGAGAGAGCGCGCAAGAGAATATATACGTGTGTGTGTATACACACACACACTAATAGAGTTTTAACTAGTGTATATGTTCATTGTACAAAATGGTGGGTTTCCTTATGGCATTTTTATACGTGTGTATCTCAACAGACAATAATAAATGGGAA